AAAATTTAAGGGGTAGTTATATAATAATTTTGGACGATCTCGGGCGGTCGGATACTTATGACCGCTACTGTAAATATAAGCTTTCTTTTTCAAACTTAACTATCTAAATAGTTTTACAAATTCTCTATTGGATTAAGATCAAAGCTTTGTATTATCCAATCTAAAATTGAAATGCTATATATTCTCATTTATCAAATACTGTAAATTGAAATATAATATAATATCTTATCTTGCTAAAAAATAGAATTGAAATAATTGTTAACCTATAGGATAAAATAAATTATTAAAATATTAATATATTTGTCAAAATTCATATTTTCTTTCATCACAATTAATGGTCTAATCCTATGCTAGCTAAAACAGTTCTAAAATATTACTAATTTCTTTATTGAATATAATCTTTATTGTATACTTCTTTAGAACTTTTTCATACTTTTGCTTGACTATCTGAATGAAAAGAGTAAACTTTAATTCATCTAACTATACTATTTATTTCCATTCTTCTGCATAATTTTTTTTTTATACTATTTCAAATAGTTAATTCAATAATTTTTAGTTAAATAAGACTTTTTTTTACAATTTAACTTTTAAGAACTTTATAGTAAAAGTAACTTTTGATTATATTATAATATAAAATTATATCAAAATTGGTATTAAATTTATTTGTCATATAATTAAGAAAAGAAAATCAATCATTTTATATAAAATATTTCAAAGTTCAAATTTTATATTTTTAAGTATTTTAGGTCTTTCAAGACATTATTTAGATTTTATAGAACTAATTATTTTATATTTTTTTTTTTAATATTACTTATAGTACTAGTTGATATATTAAATTAAATAGAAATTCTGTTTGCTTAATACTAATAAAATATGTAATGATTATTTGTTTTCAATTATCATTTAAAATTTTATTTTCATGTATTAAGAATTAGAAAAATAATAAAATATAATATTTTTATTATCTTCTTTATTTGTATATACGATAGAAAAATTAGTGATTATAACATATGAATACAAATTCACATAATAAAATTCTAAATATTTATTGTTATCTAATGTATTATTATTTAATGATTAACTATGATTAAATCTTCTTTATTAACATTTAATTCTTCTTTATCAGAATTATTAGAATTATTAACAATAAAAACTGTAATAAAATGTCTTCTTATTTAGTGATCAGTTTAAATAATTTCTTTAATTTGATATTAATATAAAATATCACTATAAATTTACTTATCATAAGAACTTTTTGTATATAAAATAAATAATAAATAAAATAAAATACATAATTCAAATTTTTTTCTAAAAAATACTGATTATATTATTTAAAATATAATATTAAACTAATATTTACATCTATATGATTTTGTTTATTAATATAAAAAAACTTATTAATGATTATAAATATTTAACTAAAGCAAAATTTATATAAATACTATCATTTTTCTTCTTATATTTAATTAGTTTTTTTAAAATAATTTTGATTAAAATTCTAAATATGTGTTCATGTTAAATTATTTATTATTAATCAAAATTTTAATAATTTATAAGACAGGTAAAGAAAAATAATTATTTCCAATCCTTCTATCTATTTTATTCTAAATATTATTTTTTTTGAAAATACTGTATCATAATATTTAAAAATTTTTTGTAATATATATAAAATAATATATTACTTCATAAATACATATAGTATTTTTTTATAGCTTATTTAAAAATCTATATAAAGAATACAATAAAGTTTGCAAAAAAATAATATTGCCTAAAATTTTGAATTATTAATACTATCTGCAATATCATCAAGTAATTTACATTCTCTTTACTTTGCTTGATCTTTTATCAATTATATTATTAAGAAAACTATTTATTTAAATAATATTTATACAATTTTGGATTAAATTTATAGATAAAACTAATATTATTATAAAAATTTAAATTTTATTAGTAAATTATGAATATTAAATTAAATAAAATTAATTAATTAATTATCTTTAAAGCAGCTTGAGATTTTAAAATTAAATGAAAGTAAAAATAGTATAAATTTTATCTAGTATTATTAGGTAATACTAATTTGATTATTTTTTTTATATATTTATTCCTATTCATCTTGTTAATTTCTTATAAAAAATGTAAAATTATAAAAATAACTAATAATATGAATTACATTCTTAGAAATTCTTTGAAATACTACATTTTCTTTAAATAAATAATCTCAATAAAAAGAATAATAGTACAATCTTTTACTAGATAATTAAATTTTTTTAAAAGGATTTATATAAATAATTTTATAGTATTTTATATGTATTACTAGTCTAAATGCTATATATATTATTTGAAATTTGCAATACATATTTCAATATGAATAAAATTTTTATGATTATGATACAAGGTTAAATTTGAGTATTTGATCATTAAAATTAAGATTGCAAAAAATTTTATTATATTAATAAGATTTATCTACTAATAAAAAAATGTTCAGCTAAAAATTTTACAATAAAATAATATATTCTAACTAAAAAGTAGAAAATAAAAAACATAAAGTTAATTTAATATGAAAAAAAGGTTAACTTTCTAATTTTTTTAGTATTTTAACTTGTATTTAAATGCAGATTGATAGAGAAGAAGAATAATTTTTATATTTTAATTTTTTGAGTGTATAATTTCTTAATCAAAAACATTTGAAAATAAAAAAATTTTTAAAAGTTATTTATTAAAAACTTTTATTATTTAAAAAAAACTTTCTACCATTCTTTTCGCTAAGAACTGTATCACCAAATACTAAATTCTTTTGATATGCTATATAAGAAAGAAATATTTATGCAGGATATTTTCGTCATAATTGTTTTCTAATTAACAATTAAAATATTATAAATAAACTATCATATTTTATATATATTTTTTTAATTTAACTTATCTAGCAGAAATATACTCTTTAATATAAATGCTTTAATATAATCTTTTATTAAATTTATTTAATTATAACAAATTTAATAATAAGTTATAAATAAATTTTTTATACTTTTAAGTAATATCTATCCATTTCTTTTAATAGTTATACTATTAAAAAATAGGATATAAGTGATAAAAAAATTTTTTATTTTAATAATATTTACATATAGAAATAAATAATTCGATTCCAATCCTTTATTTATAATATATTTATTTATACAGGATGAAACTTTCAATATGATTGTACACGTAACTTACTACCTTTTTTTAATGAAACAAAAGGATAAACTTGATCAGGAAAAGAATCGCCAATAACATCATAATGAATAGTACCATTCACAGCGAAATAACAATGTTTAGTATTCATATTAACAATAACGCTAACAAGATCATTTTCCTTAAATTTAGCATTATTCCATTTACAGGTTTTCTCATTATAAACATACCCATCAGAACCAAGAGCCCAGCCGCGAAAACCTTTAGTATAAGGTTTATTAAATTGGCTATTAGTTTCACATATTCCAATATAAATAAGATCGGTTAGATTTTCAATTAAAATATCCCATTTATGATATCCCTTGCCCTTAATAATTATATTTCCCATAATTGATTTATATGATTTCAGATTTGGATCAGCTTCCAAGGTAAATCCATTTTTAGTTATGTTCAATTTGTTTTCAAATTGCCAAATTTCGTTATCAAAGTTCTTCCATTTAAAGATTAAATATCCACGGATAGGTCGTGAAACTTCATGTATCCTTTCGAGCTTGTACCGATAAGCATTTGTAATTATTTCTGGAGGAAATATATTTAAAGGTTCGATTTTTTTAACAATATCTTCGTGATTTATTCTATTTAAATCAATAAAATTAAGTAATGGTGCGAAGCCAGTCATAATTTTTTGAATTTTACTGGATTCATAATTAAAATCATATGGCCCCATCTTCAAATCCAACTTTTTCCCTTCTGATAGAATTTGCTTTGACTTGTTGCTGCAATATTCGAAAATCTCAAGTTCATAAGTAGCAAAAGACTTTTCCGTATCAAAGGTTTTAGCTAAAAGGTATTCCAACCCTAACAATGATAATGAATCTTTTTCGGCATCATTAGGAAACAATTGAATCTTAGACACCCAATCGACCAAAAGTTGAGTCATAAAGTTATCTGTTTTTAGGGAAAATTTTCCAATACAATCGGATAAAAGGATTTTACCTAAATCTTCATCACCATCTTCCAATAATTTCTTAGTAAATTCAATGATTTCATCTTTAAGGTCATCTAATTCAAAATAAGTTGCCGAATAATAAATTTCTATGACATTATCAACTGATAATTCTTCACGTTCATTCTTATCTGTATATAAATATTCCAAGATATATCTCATCGCGGTTGAATTAATTTTATCAAATTCGATTTGATTGTTATTTTTTTTTTGTTTATTGAAAATATAATCATTGAGTACTTCAGAACGAATACATATAATGTTTTTACACGCGCGTAAAACAACGTTATCTGAACATTTTAATGAAATATCAAAAAATCTTTCGTCATCGAGCAATTTACTCAAATCATTTTGAAATTTCAAAGTAGGTTGTGTTAAAGATGTCATTATTTCTTATTATTATTAAAAAAAAAAAAAAAAAAAAATGGTATCGCCTTTTTTTTTATACAAAAACTCTGGTTTGTTGAATTTGGTCGTGAATGGTCATCACACGTGATCATCGGTTTGCAAACAATATTGTTTTAAAATCTTTTATTTCTTTAATAGGATATATTAACCAAATTATATGACAAATCTATCATTAAATGGACAAAAGCATTATGTAAGAAAATTTATCTTTTTTAAGTATCGTTAAATCTTTTTTATTCCCAAATTTTAAACGCAAAATTTTTTAAAATAACTTAATAAGATAGCGAAAGGGGTAATGAAGATGGCTCTAAAAAGGGTGATAAAAAAATTCGATAAATATTTTAAAAAGGGATAATTCCTCCTAGTATATTTAACATTTAATATAAGTTTTTCACCTTCAGCTTTAGCAATTATAATGGCAACATTATTGTCACCTTCAAATTTAATTCTATTTGAAGCTAAAGCAATGGTATCGTCAATAACTTGGCCCCTTTGTAATTCATTATTAAATACTCCTACCCAATACTCTGGTGTTACTTTGAATGAAGTTGTACTATCTGCTCTTAGATTCCTTTCAAATACACACGCGCTTCCCCACATTCCTATACCACAATCTGCTGCTTTCCTTGATGTATTTATAATTTTAATTGAATCGTTTGACGCTTTTACATTATCATGCTCAACGATGGTTTGGGTTTCTTCATGGTTTTTATCACTCTTCTAAAGGGTTGAAAAAGGTTAGATTTAAAAGCTCTCCGAATCGATTCTTCTAATGTTGTTCTCACTTACCGGATAATCAATGATTTCCCATACGGAACCAAGTATCACCGGAGCAACTTGAGTGGTATGATAAACTCCTATATTACTTTTTTTTTGAATATAATGTGCTAATGCAACAAAATATCTATCAAATTTCCAACTAACTGTGGATACTGCGCCATTAGAAAGTGAACTTATTAACCATGCTACGCTATCTGAATGTGGTGGTTCTGGTATTTGTATATACACACAAAAATTTAAGTGCTGTTTAAATCCTGTTTTATTTTCAAAATCAACAAAATATTGTGTCATCTCTAAATAGGAGGTGAACTTTGTAAAAACCTTTGAGGAAAAAAAAATTTACAAAAGAACGTTTCGCTTGATAACTTTTTGAATCGAAAATTATTTTATTTGTATTTAAGATTTATATCATAAGTTCCTTACCTTTTAAATAATTTTCTTGTTAAAAAAAAAAAAAAAACCTGTGCAATTATTTATTAAAAAAAATGCCATTAAAAAACTCATTCGAGAGAAATTATTATTTATTATTATGATTGGCTTAGAAATCAAGGCTTGGAATTGTATCGTGGCCGCAGTTTTTTAAAGATTAGTTTTTACAGATTATTATTATTATTGGCTTTTCATTTCTTGTGGCTGTGTATAAGCATATATTATAGGCTTGTGATAATATTTCATTCGGAAATAACAAGTCATAATTGCATTTTCTCATGAATTGTTTTTATTATTCAATAAACTTTATCACAAAATTTGAAATTTAATAAATATTTATTTATCGTGACGTTGAACAAATTGATGTTGAATTAGAATTCGTGCAGGCGTTAAAGAATCAAATATTAAAATCGAGTGGCATGTGGCTGATGTGGCTGATATTATGGCAAATAATGTATTTTTTTGATTCACCAAATTGTATAAACTTTTAGTTTGTAAATACTTCACGTTAAAAATTTAAACATAATGATAAAAATGTAAAATTTAAATGTAAACAAAATTATAATTTCAAATATTGATAAAATCATTTTTTTTAGGGATGTTAAACAGGCCCGGTCCTTATGATTACTAACTCGAGAAGTCTAATCACTTATTTATAACTAGGTAACAGAAACCGTTGTAATGTTAGCATAGTTAAAAATCCACTTATTGGTTAAAAATCACGTGATAATCAACTTTTATTAACCAATAAAAAAACTTTATTTTTTAATATAATACATTAGATATTAGAGATATTTGATAGATTAGTAATATCTTATCATGTTAGAGAATTTATTAGCATTTATTTAAATATTAAAAAATACAAATTTCATTTCTTACATGTTTTAAACATATACTTGTACACTAGATTCATGATTTACTGCAATAGTTTCAAGTTTATTAAATAAAGTTTGATATATTGAATAGATTCTCATATTGGCTAAAGTATTTATACAAGTTACTGATGTATCTGAATTTAGTATCACTAGTTTGCTTGTTATGTATTGCTGCAAGTTAGTAATATAGTAGCATAACTTTTTACTTTAATAATTATTATGTCTATAAGTTTTTACTTTTGAGATTCATGAATTGAAAAAAAATATCAAAAAATTCTCTAATCTCTATATTGTTAGAATAATTTCTATTAAGAGAAAATGTTTCTAAAACTTTTCCTTTTGAGAGTAATGATTTCAGAATGATTTCTTTCAAGAAAAATAATTCTAGAATAATTTCTATCGAGAGAAATATTTCTAGATACTTCTCTTTGAAAAAATCATTTCTAAAGCAATTTTTATAAAGAATTTTACTTTCAAAGTAACTTCCATGAAGAATTTTATTTTCAGAATGATTTCCTTAAAGGATTTTATTTCTAGAGCAATTACCTTTAAGGATTTCACTTTCAGAACAATTTTCTTGAAAGATTTTACTTTTAGAATGATTTTCATTAAAAATTTTATTTCTGGAGGGATTTCCTTAAAGGAAATTATCTTTGTGACTTTTTCTTTAAAGAAATTACATTCAGAATTGAAATCCTTTATAAAAATTACTCTGGAAGTGAAATCATTTAAGAAAATTACTTCAGAAGTAAATTTCTTTAAAGAAATTTAGTCTTAGATGTATTTTTCTTTAAGAAAACACCACCTGATGTATTTTTCTTCAAATAAAATATCACTGAAGCTATTTTTCTTTAAGTAAACGTCATTAGAGTATCTTTTCTTTAAAGAAAAACTTCCTTTAAATTTATTTACTTCAAACCAACAAACTTAGCTGTAGCACAAATTAAATTATGATATAAACTAGCTTATCTGACTCATAACTCATTTTATAGTAGCTCAAGCTGAGCTTAGACAAACTGATTTGTTTAACTTACAAGTAGCTTAGCTTATTGTGAGCTCTAGCTGATATCCTATCAATTAGAATTAATACTTTTTCAAATATAAGTATAAGCATAATATATAAAACTGTATATAATAATAAAAATTGTAGCTATATATAAACAAACAATTTAAAAATATAAAAATTTTAATATATTTTATAATTTATAAAAATTTAAATATTTAATTTTAA